AGTTTACATTAGACCTTTTATTACCTTTTTATTCTGGTGGACTTTATAATCACCCAGATATATAATATTATTATCAGGGCACGGAAATATATCTATTTGCTAACATTATTATAGAATACCAAAAAATAACGTAACTAATTATATTCCACTGTATAGGTTCATTATCTTGACGCGGCGCGGTAGCAGTACGGAGGGCCCTCTCACGCACATGTCAGAACGTAATATTGAGATGGCAAAAAAATGTTTATTTTTCACTCTAACATACGATTCTAATTCAAACAATACGTCGCAATAATTATCACTATTTGCATTTTGAAAAAACATTCTTTTTTTCCACAACATGTACGAGGGATCAATCAAGGCACATTTTAAAAATTATATTTAGTTAATTAAATATTTAAGTTTAAAATTCTGTATTTTTTTGAATATTTTCAACAAAATTTAAAGCAATTCAAATTACAAAAATTAAAAATGTGGCTCGATCGTTCCCTTGTACATATTACGGAGAATCCGTATATTTTTTCAGAATGAAAATCGTGATATAATTGTCGACACGTAGCGTTGGAATTAAAAACAGTACTTTTTGTTAAAAATATACGTGGTGGTGAGGCTCCTTAATATTGTCTACAATACTACTTTAATAGAGATACCGAAATGGCAAAATGAATATACTCGTATATCCTTGTATAAATGCTATACGTTATTAACCATAAGAAGGAGCTAGTTTAATACTTATTGTTTACAAGTGTTAAAGATAGTAATACAAATCACGTTTAAATTATATAATATATTTATTAGCATTCATAATTTAAAACTGAATTCAATTTGTATTACAATTATAATTTAATTATTTAGAGTGTGAAAAAAATTGTAAAAGGTGAAAACATTAATTATAATTTAAATTTACAAAGCACTCTTTATTGTTATAGCAGCATTTTCTAATGCATTTCCGATACTGTATCCTGCATCCCTCAATGCATCACTTATGACATTAGGTTCAAAATTGAGCTTATCTATAAATAAAAATAAAAAAATTTATATTAAAAAAAATATTTACTCACTGTAAATAATTTAAAAGTATATAGTGATTTAAAAAATAAAATACATTGACTTTAAATTTTAAAAAGAAGTACTGCAATGAGATTTTTTGAAACATAATGGCCACTTATTGTATTAGTTAAATTTGTTGTATGAATACTAACCCGACAGCTTAATTTTTAAACTACTAAGAAAATTTTCTACATAATCAACCATATTAGAAACACCCGATTTAATAGCATCTCCAATTTGCGATTGAGTTGAAACCTAGAAAAAATAAAATCAAATATTTATCTAGTTTATAATTGTCAAATAACACAGTCGAATCCGCTTAATGGGGACTAATAGGCTAAGTCCCATACAAATGTTTTCGATTTAAGCAATTTAACATCGTAGTTGGGAAGAAAACTTCGTTTATAAGGGACATATAATCTATACATACCTACTTTCTTATCGAAACTGTAATTGTCTAAAATCTGTCTCTATCAGATTTTATTTTTAAATAATAACAATTACCAGCGTATTTTACTTTTGCTAATAATTTCTTTATATCCTAAAAATACACATTCCATGAAGATAAATGAGTTGACTAGTTCGCGTACAAAATTGGTCAGTAAGTAAAGTTATAATAAATTACAACTAAGAAGAATGGATGATTTTTTTCATCCCAACAAAAAATGAATTCGTATGTATTTTTTTTTACAAAAAATATTAGGTTAATCAATTAATTTATAATAAGTATGTACATATAATATAATTTACGATATCATAATATGTATGACATATAATAATTTTAAACAAAGTTTAAAATAAGTATGTATATTTCTTACAATAAAGTAATTATAATACACTTTCATAGTTTATTTTAAATTTTTTTTTAAAAATCGGTTTGTTGAGACAGTTGAATAAGGGGACAGATGTATTACTTACATGTGAGTGTAGATATTTAATATTGCTCAATAACAGGTAAGTAGTTATTTAAAAGTTATGATAAGTAATTACAAACCTAATATAATTGTTAAGTACCTATACAACTTACTTGGATAGTAATAGCGATGACCAATAATAATGCTAAGAAGTATTTCATGTTGTCAAATTGTTGGTTTTCGAATCAGTAATGAATCATAAATAAACTGTAAACGACGAGTAACATTTTACAGTATATATACGTTTATTTGTAATTTATTTTTATATTCAAAGACACGTACATCACGTAAGACGTATGTATTATAATATTATGTTCAAACGTATTAGAAATTCTAAATGTAGAATATACATGCCATAAAGATTAATACAATTGATAGACGGGAACTAATGCAAATTTCGAATGTAAAATTAATATATTTTCCTCGTAGATTTAGAACAAATAAAGAACATAAAGGAATAAATTAATTTTATAATACTAACTTTATCAAAGAAATATATGAATACGGACATAGAAATGGATGGAAAATATGTTAGTGCTTCATTTTTTTTTTTAATGAAATGTGTGAAATGTTCACATTGTTTTCGACTACAGAAAAAATGTATAAACAATATTATGCTAGATATTGATATGTAGTTTACTTTAAGTTTTTCTGATGTGCGAATTTTAAGTAAGTCTGTTAGAAAAACAATTGTCTACTGCTTTTAATTATTGAGAATCAGCTATCATTAAAATTCAAATTGTCAAAACTAAAAAGAGAAAGACAAATTTACAAATAATGAGTTATCTATAAACGTGGAAACCAAATAATATGAATTATAAAATAAATGCATAGTAATGATCTTAAAGGGAGTAATAGAGATTGATGGCGCAGTAAGTGCCTAATAATATTATAGGGCTGGCTTGTTTGCCTTAATAAATTAAAAGAAATAATAAATAGATAAATAATTAAAATAAATAAATATGAATTGGTAGTGGACTGTATAATTGAATAAATTAAATAAGAAAAATTCACACAAACAAATTGACTAGATCACGTCGAGGTCACCAAAATATCACTGCTATCAGCTTTTATAATGAAAATAAGGGTGCCTTAACGGCTAAGAAAATAAATATTATGTTGTGTAAATAAAAGGAATAATTATAAAAAAATTTCAATGAGAATATATAAAAGAAAGGTTAAATATTATAAATTTAATGTTTCTAGTTTATTAATAATAACTACAGTAATGGTAAAATGAAAAAACAAAATGTGTATAAAAAAGAATTATGTTGCCCGATTGGCACAAGAATAATTAAACAAATATAAATAAATAAATATAATGGATAATAATAATGGGTTGTCTACGACGACACACCGCAGTGCTCAATAATAATAATAATAATAATATATAAATCACTCACAGCAATATGAATAAATATATAACAATGAAAAATAACAGCTTTTGGTGATATATATATTATATAGCAATTTTTTCAACAGTTTTCTTAATAATTGTGAAAAACTGAATAAATGTTATAAAAATAGGGTAAAATGTATGGCTTAACACTTTTCAACAAAATCGAATGTTTGTTTTCGTAATTCAAAAAATAATTATTATAATAATATGAAATTTTCTCTAAATGTTTATTCCTGCTAATGGTGAATAATTTTTCTATAGATTTTTTTTAGAGCTATTATTAGAAAATTTGAATGTTCACATTTTCCCAGCTTTTTCAAAAATATCTATAAAATAATTGTGATTTGATAAAAAATCTTGAAAATTTAATATAAAATATATTATACATGAATATAAATTCCTCACACATATATCTATAACTGATCAAAGAAAACATTTTTTTAAATTTAAATAAAATATATTCACTAGCATTTAAATGTTAAATCAGTGGCGGCCTGGCCAGGTCAGTGAGACGGCGATCGCCGACTGGGCCCCCTTATAATAAGGCCCTTTGAAAAGAGCCGTTATTTTTTTTGAGGAATGGCCAATTTAGAGAATAAAACTATTTTTATATAACATAATAACCTGTACCATGTACAACATGTCAATTATTATTTTCTGTTATCTTAAAATTATATTGAATTGATTAATGAACTTATATTAATGTACATTGTACTATTTGTAGTTTGTACAGACAGTGAACATAGTTCCTTGATTTGAAATTAAAAATAGTATTTCTCAGTAAAATCGATTGAGACGATCACACGACCACAATAATATTATATTATTAGACACTAGTTATTACTCTTGGCTCACGCAGTCACACGATTTATTTCTGATATAAATAATACTATATAATGTACAATACCTATATATTAAAAAAATTATTTTTCTTTTTATTACTATTAATCGTTATCGTCGCTTATCGAAACGATGTGTTTGCGACACTCGAGTCACGTGCGTCATTTACCAAGCGACTCTGGTGACATTTTTTGATCCCAACAGATTTATGGATATAAAAAATAACATTTAGACTAGTGATGGGAATAATCGAGTGATTTCGATAATCGAGAGATTAGTAATCGAGATATTATAGTTATCGAGTAATTCACTCGATTAAAATAATCGAGCGAATAGTAAATCGAGATTATTTTTTCTCGATTGTTCCCATCACTAGACGTAATTGTATTGATTTTAAGACAAATCTAGTGCTCACAAATAAATACTCATTTAATTAAACTAAAGATATATTTGGTTATTGGTTGAAAGAAAAAATCATTATTTTACATAAATTTAGTATTAATCAAGAATAAAACATTTATTAGAAATAATGTTTTATTATCATTAAAACATAAGGCCTTAGAGGTATTCAAACCTATCAAACTATTCTTTAAATTAATTATATTTTTTTTACATTTAAGTAGGATGTATGCTTGAAACGAATCTATAGACTTCATTATTTCAAACATTTTTTTTTCGTTAATTTGATTTAGTCATCTTTAAATTATGGATATTAATGTATTGAATATGTATTTATTTTAAAGAAAATTTTATTAATTTAATATAATTCAGTATTAATTCTAGGTAAATCGTTGAACTTCAAAATAATGATTACATTTCATTAAAACATTGAAAGATATTTTTCTGAGTGTACCTAAAATAATTCGGGACCCAATTCGGATGCAGCCGAAAAATCACATCCTCGCTCATCTCCCGTTCAATTTCAATACAACGAAGCTAATCTTGATTTTTAACGACCATATACACATTGTAGGCTGCCTGACGTTTAGCCTCTTTTTTCGACCATCCTTCGCCTGTATAAGCATATATTTTTACATAACGATTTGTGATTACACGTAACGCCAAAGTGAAAACACATAGAAAGCTGACCGTACCTTTGACCGTGTACCCTCATAAAGAGCATTCTATTTGAAAATGGTTATCAGCTATTTTAACGCATGAATGATACTCCGGTATTTTCCACCATCGAGCCATACACAATTCTTGTAGCGCAGATACGGCATCCGTGTTCACTTTCAACGCGATGTTCTTCTCTACTTTGATTTTACTGGTGAGAGGGCACACGTTGATATTATTATCGGTTATTTGTTTAGTATTATCATAAAAACATTAATACCGCATCCGTTGTTTGGCCGTCATTGTAATTTCTTTTGTGAGTTCTGTCCTCGAACTCATACGGTCTACGTTCAATACGGTTGTTCCGTCGTCCGTGTCACCAGCCTCTGGTCCACCATTTGGAAAGGACAATAACTCATGAGCATTTCTGTTTGATGCCATCGCCGGTCCACTGTGGATTTTTTCGCACATCGGAACATCTCCGGGAGAAACTGCACTTTCGTTGACGATCAGTAAAGGGTCATATCCAAGTTCAGTTGGCTCGACACGTGACACTGGTCTAAATCCAGCACATCGGTCTGAGCTGACACATGACACGGGTTCAATTTTTCGGTCTGAGCCGATGCGTGACATTGGTCAAACACATCGGTCTCAGTCGACACATCACACGAGTCCAATATTTCGGTCTGAACCGATGCGTGACACTGGTCGAACACAACGGTCTCAGTCGACACGTGAGACTTGTCTAATATCTCGGTCTGAGTTGTTGTGTGACACTGGTCCAATACATCGGTTTCAGTTGAGACGTGTAATTGGTCGAATACGTCCGTCTGCATTGAATTATCTACCAAATGCATTATGGTTGTCTCCGTCGAGACTTCGCGTAAGTCCACCATCATCCGTGTAGATGGTCCCGCGTTCTCGGAGACTTCAACTTCAGTGGCGATAGTAGCCGACCGTTCGTTTGCAGCCTTGATCGCGCAGCACTGACCGAATTCCCAACAACGTTTGTGTATGGACACCTTACACACTATAAAATACCGGGAGAAAAAATATTCATGAGACAACAACAAACGCCGATGATTTATTTTAACAATATCTTAAAATGCAACGGTAATAATGTCATTCGAGTGTACAGGGCCGTCGTAGAGTTTGGTGAGACCTATATACAGGCCCGTAGCCAGACCAAATTTTCAGGAGGGGCAAAGCAAATTTTTGGGGGGGCATTATATATAAATGTATTAAATATTAATGCAATTTTTAATTTATTTACATTGACATCTAATTAAAATAACACAATGAATTACAAAATAAATTAACAATGAAACATATTTTGTTTTAAAGTTACAAAACGAATAATACTAAATAATAAAAATAAAACTTATATTTTAAATGCAACATTTTTTTCTGAACAATATTCAAGCCAATCAAATAATTTGAACCATTGACTTCTAAAAGATCTACCACCTACATTAGGATACGACGGAAGAATTATTTGATTTTTTTTATGTGTTTGAAAAATCGGTTGATTATTTGTTTTATTAATTATTGAAGTGTTCTCTGATGTTTTATTAATATATGAAGTGCTTTCGGACGTTTTATTATTTTCGGTAGTATTTTTAGACGAGTTTTTGGTTGTTTTGATTACCCATGAATCCATATTACGTATTAATTTTTGAAAAAATCCAAGACTAAAAATAATATTTGTTTTGTTTAATTACCTATTACATTATATTAATTATATATATTTTAATTTTATTATATTTATAAATAAAAAATTTTGCTCATTCAATTTGCCTCAAATTTAATCATAATATAACATTTTATTAACTTACCTTAAAACAGTTATATAATTTCTTGGCACACGTGTACTGCTGCAGTCGGCGATAAAATGAAAGAATATTTAGGTGTTCTATAATAAAATGTCAATTGATAGGAAAGTATTGAGCTACGATTACGATAACGTTAGCAATCAATTTGCCAACAGTCGTCGTGACACGTCAGTATCGTCGTCATGGCCCGGAATTTCCGAAATAAATACTACTATACGGCTAAAAAAACTTTTTTGATCTATTCTATTACCGATGAAAATGTTATAAGCAATAAAATACGTAACTACCTAAACATCTTTCTAATATTTTTAGGGGGGGCAACGACTGGGTATAGGGGGGGGGGG